AAATAAGGATTGCTTTAGATAGCATATAGTCTAAGCTACAACATACTCAAAAATCAACAAAATCCAAGCAGAACTAACGGCGATATTGCTCGCAAAAGACAGGAATGTAGAATCCAGATTTTAGAAAAAGTCATTTCCCATAGGGATTACACGCAAAAAGTAATGGATTAAGTGATAATAGGGTAATAATAAAGTAAAAAGGGTTGTTTATGACATTATTTGCGATTCTATGTGTTTAAATAATCAAAGGAGATGGTACAGTGAAAGGTCAAAAGGAAAAAAAAGTTAAGAAAAAAATTGTTGGAGACACCCGGACTCGAACCAGGGATCTCGAGGTTGGAAGTCAAGTGCGTTACTGATATACCAAAACATCTCCCATAGCGATAACACGTTAACGGGAAATGGAATTCTAAAGTCCTACATTGCAAGTGAAATATGAGCATGATCCCGGCATATGATCGAAAAATAAAGTGAACACTGGAGATAGCCTTTCGTCTCAGCTACAACATACCCGAAGCTCAGCAAAAACAAAGCTAAAACAACGGAGATATTGCTCGCGAAAGAGGGAAATGTAGAATCCAGTTTTGAGAAATAGTCATGTGCCATAGACAATACACGCAAAATGAGAAAAATTGACATGCCTCCTTTAATCGCAAAAATACGACATGATACCTTTGTCAAACTGGAAAATTGTGGACATTGCATTTGTTGAAAATTATCTCAGCTAGAACATATCAAAATTTGCAAGAAAAAAAATCAATATTTACAGAGATACAATCAATTGTCCAAAAATATGCAAACGTCATACTATCAAAATTTAAATTTTGAGTTCGGAGGCCATTATGATGACGTCATGAGTTAATTAAGGGTCAAATGACACATGAAATCATATTTCCGACCCATAATCTATCTAAATATGAAAAAAAATTGGGAGTTCCTATCTATTCAGAAGAGTTACAAAGAATTTTGTATAGGCATGTTTTTGCTCATGTATTGTGGATAAAGAAAACGCAGGTCCGCGCGCACTGTCAACTTTGACGGACGCTTATTGCGTTATAAAAAGGTTAACAAGTTATCAAAATGCTTGGAAAAATGTGCCAAATATGATGATAAAGAAAATTCGGCGATTCTATGTTGCAAAATGCTAGAACGCGCAAAAAACGCGCTCGCATGCGCGTGAGCATAATTTTTTGTCAAATGCTCCATATGGCCTAAAACGTATGCAAAAAAAATTTAGGATGATTTAGAGCATTTTAAATTTTTACGCGCGCGTAAACGCGCGGATGAACGCGCACGCGCGCATTTGCGCACGTTTATTGACCTGGTATTGACCGGTAGGATATTGATCTTAATCATGATAATTATGAATGAGAAATACTTTTCCGTTATGAAGATATGATCATAAGTTGATTTTCACAAAATGGCGCCTGGATGACGTCACGATGACTTTGAGTTTTTGAAAAGTCACGCAGTTCTAAGTTAGACTAAGATCTATCATCATGGCAAGTTTCATGATAATGGCTTTAGCCATTCTTGAGATATCCTGCGAACAAAATTGAGGAAGAATAATAATAATTTCTTCTATACAGACACAAAATAAATACTAGACTTTAATTCGTCACTTAGACGAATTAGGTGATACGTACGATAATGGTTTACATAACGAATAATGCATTACACGATATATTATTTTGTTAAATGCTTTTCCCATTTATATGCTTCTCCCATTATGATCTATCCATATGTCAAGATTAAATTGTGTCTCCTTGATCATCATGGATCTAGGGAAGATATATTGAAACAATATATGACCTTTGACCCTGTGCAGTAACTAGTTACACATTTGACTCTAATTTACATCATGAAGAACACCTTTTGACGATTTTATCTTATTCAAAGAAATGAAAATGTAATTGATAAATGATTATCATCATTATGATAATGATGATCATGGTCATGAGCGCGATCATGACATCTTATTGAAAAAATGAGGGTTGATTAAGATAGCATATAGTCTCAGCTACAACATACTCAAAAATCAACAAAATCCAAGCCGAAATAACGGCGATATTGCTCGCAAAAGACAGGAATGTAGACTCCAGATTTGAGAAAAAGTCATCTCCCATAGGGATTACACGCAAAAAGTAATGGATTAAGTGAAAATAGGGTAATAATAAAGTAAAAAGGGTTATTTATGACATTATTTGCGAATCTACGTGTTTAAATAATCAAAGGAGATGGTACAGTGAAAGGTCAACAAGAAAAAAAAAGTTAAGAAAAAAATTGTTGGAGAAACCCGGACTCGAACCCGGGATCTTAAGGTCGGAAGTCAAGTGCGTTACCGATATACCAAAACAACTCCCATAGCGATTACACGTAAACGGAAAATGAAATTCTCTAATCCCACTTTGCAAGTAAAATATGAGCATGATCCCGGCATATGATCGAAAAATGAAGTACATATTGGATATAGCTCATTGTCTCAGCTAAAACATATCCGAAGCTCAGCGAAAACAAAGCTAAAACAACGGAGATTTTGCTCGCGAAAGACAGGAGTGTAGAATCCAGTTTTGAGAAAAAGTCATGTCCCATAGAGAATACACGCAAAATGCGAAAAATTGACATGCCTCCTTTAATCGCAAAAATACGCCATGATAACTTTGTCAAACTGGAAAGGTGTGAACATTACATTTGTAGAAAATTGTCTCAGCTAGAACATATCAAAATTAAAAAGAAAATTGATCCATATTTACAGAGATACAATCAATTTTCCAAAAATATGCTGACGTCATAATATGCAAATTAAAATTTTGAGTTTGGAGGCCATTATGATGACGTCATGAGTTAATTGAGGATCAAATGAGACATGAAATCATATTTCCATTTCATAATCTATCCAAATATGAAAAAAATATTAGGAGTTTCTACCTATTCTAAAGAGTTACAATGAATTTTATATAGGCATGTTTTTGCCCATGTATTGTGGATAAAGATAACGCAAATCCGCGCGTGCTGTCAACTTTGACGGACGCTCATTGCGTTAATAAAAGGTGAACAAATTATAAAAATGCTTGGAAAAATGTGACAAAAATGATGACAGAGAAAATTTGGTGATTTTATGTTGCAAAATGCCAGTACGCGCGGAAACGCGCACGCATGCGCGTGTGCACGATTTTTTTGCGAAATGCTTTAAATGGCCTGAAACGTATGCAAAAAATTTTTAAGACGATTTAGAGCATTTTAAATTTTTGCGCGCGTATTTACGCGCGCACGAACGCGTACGCGCGGGTTTACGCACGTTTAATGACCTAAAATTGACCGGACGGATATTGATCTTAACCATGATAAATATGAATGAAAAATTACTATCCGTTATGAAGATATGATCATTAGTTGATTTTCACAAAATGGCGCCTGGATGACGTCACGATGATTTTGAGTCTTTGAAAAGTCACGCAGTTCTAAGTTAGACTAAGATCTATCATCATTGAAAGATTCATAACAATGGCTTCATTCAGTCTTGAGATATCCTGCGAACAAATTTGAGGAAGAATAATAAATAAAAAAAAAAAAAAATAAAAATCTTGACAAAATCAATAGGTGATACGTAGACTTCGTTACGTATCACCTAACTAGACTTTAATTCGTCACTTAGACGAATTAGGTGATACGTATGATAATGGTCTACATAACGAATAATGCATTACACGATATATTATTTTGTAAAATGCTTCTCCCATTCATATGCTTCTCCCATTATGAATTATTCATATGTCAAGATTAAATTGTGTCTCCTTGATCATCATGGATCTAGGGAAGATAGATTGAAACAATATATGACCTTTGACCCTGTGCAGTAACGAGTTACACATTTGACTCTAATTTACATCATGAAGAACACCTTTTGACGATTTTTATCTTATTCAAAGAAATGAAAATGTAATTGATAAATGATTATCATCAATATGATAATGATGATCATGATGATCATGATCATGATCATGAGCGCGATCATGACATCTTATTGAAAAAATGAGGAATGATTTAGATAGCATTAGTCTCAGCTACAACATACTCAAAAATCAACAAAATCCAAGCCGAAATAACGGCGATATTGCTCGCAAAAGACAGGAATGTAGACTCCAGATTTTAGAAAAAGTCATCTCCCATAGGGATTACACGCAAAAAGTAATGGATTAAGTGAAAATAGGGTAATAATAAGTAAAAAGGGTTATTTATGACATTATTTGCGAATCTACGTGTTTAAATAATCAAAGGAGATGGTAGAGTGAAGGTCAAAAGGAACAAAAAGTGAAAAAAAAGTGTTGGAGACACCCGGACTCGAACCAGGGATCTCGAGGTTGGAAGTCAAGTGCGTTACCGATATACCAAAACATCTCCCATAGCGATTACACGTAAACGGGAAATGGAATTCAGAAATCCCACTTTGCAAGTGAAATATGAGCATGATCCCGGCATCTAATCGAAAAATAAAAGGCACACTTTTAATAGCTCATTGTCTCAGCTACAACATATCCAAAGCTCAGCGAAAAAAAAAGCTAAAACAACGGAGATTTTGCTCGCGAAAGACAGGAGTGTAGAATCCAGTTTTGAGAAAAAGTCATGTCCCATAGAGAATACACGCAAAATGCGAAAAATTGACATGCCTCCTTTAATCGCAAAAATACACCATGATACTTTTGTCAAAAATAAAAATTGTGAATACTGCATTTGTAGAAAATTGTCACAGTTAGAACATAGCCAAATTTGGAAGAAAATCAATAAATATTACGAGAAATACACTAAATTTTCCATGAATATGCTGACGTCATAATATGCAAATTAAAATTTTGAGTTTGGAGGCCATTATGATGACGTCATGAGTTAATTGAGGGTCAAATGAGACATAAAATCATATCTTTGACTCATAATCTATCTAAATATGAAAAAATATTGGGAGTTCCTGTCTATTCTGAAGAGTTACAAAGAATTTTGTATAGGCGTAATTTGTTACCATGAACTAATTAGAAACTCTCTTATTGAGATAAAGCAATTTATATTTGTCTTCTATGTATTACTGCAGGATTCAGATATTACAGCAGCAGAGGAAACTCTCCAATCTAGGACCCTGCTGGCATACATCTGTGAGGATGTCTTACTAGCTGGCCGGACCGTTGAGTCTTTGCAAGGAAGGCAGTATACGTATTCGGTTTTGCTGAATAAAGAAGGTATTATATCTCTAAATGTTATATATTTTAGTCAACATGTCAGAGATTAGGTAATGTGGTCCCCATGGTCAACTTCAAGGTCAAATCTTAGGTGAAATGATGGCAGGTTTGGAATCCTTATTGAATTACCTTTTCAACAATACCATTTTTGTGAAGAGAAGTTCCTGAGATACAAGGGTTCAAAGATGGTTATGCCCATTTTTGCCTAATATCTCAAAATTTGGTGGGCCAAATCTTCCAAACTCTTCACCAGATTAACCTAAAATTTGACATTTGGTGCTGTGAGATCACACTTGACAAGTTCACTAAGTTTCATTAAAATAGAAAATGGTCGGATTAAAACCATTGTATGATTTGACATGGAATGACCCTACGCTGGATTTACATAAAACTGCACAAAGTAATTGTATGGAAAGTAGTTTTCATTAAGAACTATGTGTTATTCTTGACCCATGATATTGGTAATCCAATCACTTGTTTTTTTTTCTTCTTCAGAGAACAAGGTACATCACCTGGTCCTTACCGTGTGGAGAGCAGACGAGGTCGCAGAAAAGCCACCACATCTGGAGACCATTCAGTCAGGAGAGGTGTACAAGCACTTGATAGAAAGGTTCACTTCAGCTGATGACCTGATCCTTGTGTACGGACCACTAGTTGGTGAGTTTTCATCATATCCATTCCGTAATGATGTACCTTTATTTTGAATTAAACTTTGTCATAAAGTTAAGTGGTAGTTTAAATCAAAATCTTCCTATATTTTGTCTAGTTTTTACTTTTATTTTTCTTTGAAATTTCTGCTTCAAGTCACGTCGGTTATCAATGGGGAGTTATCTCCCCATTGATTATTTTAGCAAATGCATCCAGGTGAGAACTTCGTGGATGATCAGCCGAGGAAAACTATATCCACTTTGATAATAGTCACGTTTCGAGTAAACGTTTAATCGTATACCCGCCCGGTAAAGCCAGTAGTTGAATAATGAACTTGATAACAGTATAATCGATGACTCATTGGGAACCCAAGAACATCACCTAAAAAGAGTCTAAACGGATGTGAAATAGAAATCTGTCACAATAATTCTACTTTCTAAGACATTGTCAAGGAAGTTTAAATAAATCAAATTCCTACCTAATCTTAAAGGTACTATGTCCCATTTGCAGGCCAAAAAAAAGAAAAGGTTAAATTCCAACGGCATTTGAAAAATAATACTAATTTAGAACTTCCCTAAAAAAGGTGGGGCTTGAAAATGTCTTCAAGTGGGAAAATAACGACTATTAGTTGTCAAATCGACTTGAGAGCCAATAAGTAATAGTCTTGATTTTCAGACCATTGTACCGCATGGTCATACGTTTTATGCTGCGCAAAGATTCAATTAGTTGAATTTTGGCCATCACAATAAGTGGGTTATTGATGTAGATAAATGCTCATGTACCATTTACAGCTCATTTTATGGATGTTATTACCAAAGAAGAAAAAAAGCCAGTCAGTCACTCAATAGTGTCCGACAGTGAATTCTAGCGGGTTTCCTTGCATAATTTGAATATTAGGACAATGCTAACGTTTAAATTTCACAGATATATTAACATACATGACATATTCATAATCAACCAATTTATAATGTATCGTTTAGATGTATAGTTGTCCCAAGTGTTGTGGTCTTGTCTAATGAAAATAGATGTCAGAGGACAATAAGGATTATTTGTAATGTTGTCCATCACAGTGAACATTACTATTTGTATCATTTATATCATGCTAGAATCCCATTATATAATGTTGGCTGGACAAAAGGTCCGGGATCACAGGGCCTGAAAGTTTCACTCTGTACCCCGAGTTCTCTGTTGTGTGGAAAAAAATATTTTGAGTGAATCGGTTATTTTCAGCTAAGTAATCATATTTCGTAAAAATCATCTATCAGTGAACAGTGGTCATAACAATTGATCTGTTTCAATGTCTTGATTTTTTTTTTTTTTTTCTCCATGTCGATTGTAAATTTCCAGATGCTACAGTTGCAGCTTTTAGACTGCATAGAAAAGCTGTAACAGTGGGATGTCCTGAAGTTGAGGAGGAAATTCGATTGATGGTGCGGCAATCTACCCTAATGGACAGCAGTGATCCCTACGAATACAGCGACGATTGATTTATATTAGGACGCTTGGTCAAAGGGGATACGATTTTCTAGTTTGGTACATGGTCAAAGGAGATAACAATTTCTAGTTTGGTCTTTGGTCAAAGGGGATAAAAAATTTCCGGTTTTGGTATATGGTCAAAGGGGATAAAAATTTCCGGTTTTGGCACTTTGTTCAAAGGGGATAAAAATTTCCGGTTTTGGTGTATGGTCAAAGGGGATAAAAAATTTCCGGTTTTGGCATTTGGGTCAAAGGGGATACAAATTTCCGGTTTTGGCATTTGGTCAAAGGGGATAAAAATTTCCGGTTTTGGCATGTGGTCAACGGGGATAAAATTTTCGGGTTTTGGCATGTGGTCAACGGGGATAAAATTTTCGGGTTTTGGCATTTGGTCAAAGGGGATAAAAATTTCCGTTTTTTGGCAATTGGTCAAAGGGGATAAAAATTTCCGGTTTTGGTATATGGTCAAAGGGGGTAAAATTTTCAGGATTCGGCATTTGGTAAAAGGGGATAAAAATTTCTGGTTTTTGGCAATTGGTCAAAGGGGATAAAAATTTCCGGTTTCGGTATATGGTCAAAGGGGATAAAAATTTCCGGTTTTGGCACTTTGGTCAAAGGGGATAAAAATTTCCGGTTTTGGCAATTGGTCACAAAGGGGATAAAATTTTCCGGTTTTGGTATATGGTCAAAGGGGATAAAAATTTCCGGTTTTGGCACTTTGTTCAAAGGGGATAAAAATTTCCGGTTTTGGCATTTGGTCAAAGGGGATAAAAATTTGGCTCACACAAGTGGAGTAAATTGTATATCTATCATTCATAGGTATTTTATTATTTGTACTTATTTATTTATATCTGTTAATGTATGAAAATGTCCAGATTTTGACATTTGGTCAAAAGGGGATAAAAATGTCCGGTTTTCAAGACATGGTATTGCTATTGGCTGACTCTATCAATTGTATTTGTATCGTCATATGTTTTTCATTATTTGTATATATTTATATTTGTAAATATTTGAAAATGTCCAGATTTGGGCATTTGGTTAAAAGGGGATAAAATTTTCCAGTTTCATGACATGGTTTTGCTATTGCCTTACACAAATGGATTGTATATGAATCATAGACATGTATTTCATTATTTGTACTTATGTTTGTAAATAATGAATATTCATTTTTGTAAAAGAAAGATATTACTTAATTTGTCTTTGATTATATGAATATTTTGTACAGTTATTATTTGTTTATCTTTGTTAGTAATAAAATTTTCTCTGCATATATTTATTTTGTAGATTTCTTTCATTAAATTGTAGTTGTGATTGTACTATATGATTCTGACAGATGAATCAATTAATAAGTGAGAATGATTATATACAGTATAAATAGAGAGAGAGAGAGAGAGAGAATTAGAGGATATTGGCACTTGGGATGAGATGAAAATGAGCATTAAGTAATTAATTGGCAAAAGTGTTTTAAATAAATCATGTTAGATGCAAAATATTGTCAGAGACACATAGTTTTTCCAAAGTACACTAGTATAGGAAAACAGTAACAAATTACCAGTAAATGAGCATAAAATTGCTTCACTTAATCTGGATTTATCAACATTCCTAGACCTACATACCAAAGCTTTTAAAAAATCTGATTTCCTTTGAAATAATTTATTGTTTATAATAATGATTATAATTACGATATTTACTATGATAATCAATATAACAATGATAATAATAATGATTATTATGATACTGCTGCTATTACTAGTACTACTACAACTACTAAGAAGAAGTAAATGAAGAAAAAGTGGTAGGAGAAGAATCATTTTAGCGATATTAGTGAGTATATTCTCAATGATTGAGGCATACACGTGCATAAACATTACATATTCCGTGGTAAGAATAAAGTAAGCGAGGAAAATGAAGGCAATGACAAACGAGAGCGAGAGAGAGAGAGAGAGAGATACAGAATATGGCCGGGTTCAAATTAAGTTTTCTCTAAATTATTAGACCCAGTACTGAGGATCTTTTAATCTGCCATGTTTTTGTTATTTGATGGCTTATGAAGCTACATAGAAATGCCGTCTTTTGTCACCAAATATTGTTCAAATAGCATTGTAGAGACGATGAACAACAGCGAACGCAAAGTCGTTAGCCATGACAATGTAAATTTCTATCTCGTTCTGCTAAATGATCCGAACAATAGAATCAACCAAGTAGATGTTAAACGAATTTTTTCATAAGTTCTGAAATTTCAATTTGTTACTGCATGTCATAATAGTATTAAAGAGCAGCAATGGCGAACGATTGTCGCTAAAATTCAGAAATTGTTGCTTAGATTGATTAAATTACCATGAGACATCAAGATACATAGAACTATGATCGACAAACATGATATTGTTTTGAAAACATTCTGAAAACATTGGAGCTAGAATGAATAAGAGATAATGTGGTCATGTAAACAAGTGCATTATGTCCATGTTATTCCCCTAGTTCCAAATCATGATTGTATTCTCTATTTATTTCTCCTATATAATTTATTTCAATTTAAAATAGAAATTCTAATGTTCCTTCTTTTGGCTTGATAATATTTCAGCAACGAATTGACAGTTTTGGTAGACATCTTGGATGTATCGTAGCAATAAATTCTTGGCACATGACGTATTGTGTATACGATAATAATGATAAGAAGAAGAAGCATACAAATAACTATAAGAATAATAACAATAACACATAATTACTATAATAATGATTATAATTACGATATTTACTATGATAATCAATATAACAATGATAATAATAATGATTATTATGATACTGCTGCTATTACTAGTACTACTACAACTACTAAGAAGAAGTAAATGAAGAAAAAGTGGTAGGAGAAGAATCATTTTAGCGATATTAGTGAGTATATTCTCAATGATTGAGGCATACACGTGCATAAACATTACATATTCCGTGGTAAGAATAAAGTAAGCGAGGAAAATGAAGGCAATGACAAACGAGAGCGAGAGAGAGAGAGAGAGAGAGATACAGAATATGGCCGGGTTCAAATTAAGTTTTCTCTAAATTATTAGACCCAGTACTGAGGATCTTTTAATCTGCCATGTTTTTGTTATTTGATGGCTTATGAAGCTACATAGAAATGCCGTCTTTTGTCACCAAATATTGTTCAAATAGCATTGTAGAGACGATGAACAACAGCGAACGCAAAGTCGTTAGCCATGACAATGTAAATTTCTATCTCGTTCTGCTAAATGATCCGAACAATAGAATCAACCAAGTAGATGTTAAACGAATTTTTTCATAAGTTCTGAAATTTCAATTTGTTACTGCATGTCATAATAGTATTAAAGAGCAGCAATGGCGAACGATTGTCGCTAAAATTCAGAAATTGTTGCTTAGATTGATTAAATTACCATGAGACATCAAGATACATAGAACTATGATCGACAAACATGATATTGTTTTGAAAACATTCTGAAAACATTGGAGCTAGAATGAATAAGAGATAATGTGGTCATGTAAACAAGTGCATTATGTCCATGTTATTCCCCTAGTTCCAAATCATGATTGTATTCTCTATTTATTTCTCCTATATAATTTATTTCAATTTAAAATAGAAATTCTAATGTTCCTTCTTTTGGCTTGATAATATTTCAGCAACGAATTGACAGTTTTGGTAGACATCTTGGATGTATCGTAGCAATAAATTCTTGGCACATGACGTATTGTGTATACGATAATAATGATAAGAAGAAGAAGCATACAAATAACTATAAGAATAATAACAATAACACATAATTACTATAATAATGATTATAATTACGATATTTACTATGATAATCAATATAACAATGATAATAATAATGATTATTATGATACTGCTGCTATTACTAGTACTACTACAACTACTAAGAAGAAGTAAATGAAGAAAAAGTGGTAGGAGAAGAATCATTTTAGCGATATTAGTGAGTATATTCTCAATGATTGAGGCATACACGTGCATAAACATTACATATTCCGTGGTAAGAATAAAGTAAGCGAGGAAAATGAAGGCAATGACAAACGAGAGCGAGAGAGAGAGAGAGAGAGATACAGAATATGGCCGGGTTCAAATTAAGTTTTCTCTAAATTATTAGACCCAGTACTGAGGATCTTTTAATCTGCCATGTTTTTGTTATTTGATGGCTTATGAAGCTACATAGAAATGCCGTCTTTTGTCACCAAATATTGTTCAAATAGCATTGTAGAGACGATGAACAACAGCGAACGCAAAGTCGTTAGCCATGACAATGTAAATTTCTATCTCGTTCTGCTAAATGATCCGAACAATAGAATCAACCAAGTAGATGTTAAACGAATTTTTTCATAAGTTCTGAAATTTCAATTTGTTACTGCATGTCATAATAGTATTAAAGAGCAGCAATGGCGAACGATTGTCGCTAAAATTCAGAAATTGTTGCTTAGATTGATTAAATTACCATGAGACATCAAGATACATAGAACTATGATCGACAAACATGATATTGTTTTGAAAACATTCTGAAAACATTGGAGCTAGAATGAATAAGAGATAATGTGGTCATGTAAACAAGTGCATTATGTCCATGTTATTCCCCTAGTTCCAAATCATGATTGTATTCTCTATTTATTTCTCCTATATAATTTATTTCAATTTAAAATAGAAATTCTAATGTTCCTTCTTTTGGCTTGATAATATTTCAGCAACGAATTGACAGTTTTGGTAGACATCTTGGATGTATCGTAGCAATAAATTCTTGGCACATGACGTATTGTGTATACGATAATAATGATAAGAAGAAGAAGCATACAAATAACTATAAGAATAATAACAATAACACATAATTACTATAATAATGATTATAATTACGATATTTACTATGATAATCAATATAACAATGATAATAATAATGATTATTATGATACTGCTGCTATTACTAGTACTACTACAACTACTAAGAAGAAGTAAATGAAGAAAAAGTGGTAGGAGAAGAATCATTTCAGCGATATTAGTGAGTATATTCTCAATGATTGAGGCATACACGTGCATAAACATTACATATTCCGTGGTAAGAATAAAGTAAGCGAGGAAAATGAAGGCAATGACAAACGAGAGCGAGAGAGAGAGAGAGATACAGAATATGGCCGGGTTCAAATTAAGTTTTCTCTAAATTATTAGACCCAGTACTGAGGATCTTTTAATCTGCCATGTTTTTGTTATTTGATGGCTTATGAAGCTACATAGAAATGCCGTCTTTTGTCACCAAATATTGTTCAAATAGCATTGTAGAGACGATGAACAACAGCGAACGCAAAGTCGTTAGCCATGACAATGTAAATTTCTATCTCGTTCTGCTAAATGATCCGAACAATAGAATCAACCAAGTAGATGTTAAACGAATTTTTTCATAAGTTCTGAAATTTCAATTTGTTACTGCATGTCATAATAGTATTAAAGAGCAGCAATGGCGAACGATTGTCGCTAAAATTCAGAAATTGTTGCTTAGATTGATTAAATTACCATGAGACATCAAGATACATAGAACTATGATCGACAAACATGATATTGTTTTGAAAACATTCTGAAAACATTGGAGCTAGAATGAATAAGAGATAATGTGGTCATGTAAACAAGTGCATTATGTCCATGTTATTCCCCTAGTTCCAAATCATGATTGTATTCTCTATTTATTTCTCCTATATAATTTATTTCAATTTAAAATAGAAATTCTAATGTTCCTTCTTTTGGCTTGATAATATTTCAGCAACGAATTGACAGTTTTGGTAGACATCTTGGATGTATCGTAGCAATAAATTCTTGGCACATGACGTATTGTGTATACGATAGTAATGATAAGAAGAAGAAGCATACAAATAACTATAAGAATAATAACAATAACACATAATTACTATAATAATGATTATAATTACGATATTTACTATGATAATCAATATAACAATGATAATAATAATGATTATTATGATACTGCTGCTATTACTAGTACTACTACAACTACTAAGAAGAAGTAAATGAAGAAAAAGTGGTAGGAGAAGAATCATTTTAGCGATATTAGTGAGTATATTCTCAATGATTGAGGCATACACGTGCATAAACATTACATATTCCGTGGTAAGAATAAAGTAAGCGAGGAAAATGAAGGCAATGACAAACGAGAGCGAGAGAGAGAGAGAGAGAGATACAGAATATGGCCGGGTTCAAATTAAGTTTTCTCTAAATTATTAGACCCAGTACTGAGGATC